AATAAAAATGCAAACGCTTTTTATTTGCCTTTGCCGACATCACGTAAATGGATCTTTTGCACTATCTGAATAATATTCGATTTCCACAAATTTGTTAAATTGGTTTGGCAAACGCTTTAAGTGCGTTACAGGCCCTCGGCTGAAATTCTAATTTAGCACTCAATGCTCTTTAGATATTTATTTGATTAGACTCAATTGCGAATGGGATACATTAAAAAAAATATATATCACTTATCTATTGTATATACCATATTAGATAGAGTCTACTTTCATGATATATGTTCTAGGATCAAATATTAATAAAACAATTGGTAAATTAATGTGGTTTATTTTAAGGAACTTGGATGATAGTTTCTATGAAATTTAGTTGAAATATTGTAAAATTAATTTAAAAAATCTGTTCCAAAAGCTGCTTTTTATGAAAGCTGTGATGACAAATAATTTTAAAATATATAAAGATTTTTCTCATAATTACATAAGAAACCTGAACAAAAACGTAGTTCCTATGGAAATTCTATCATTGCTTTTCTATTGCTCAGATTTTGTAGAGTTTTTTCTTACAATTATCAAAATCTATAGTTAAGTTATGGCGGAGCTTTTTATCAAATTCTATCATAATGTAACACTTGTTTAAGTTTTCTTCAAGTAACCTCGTTCAAGTTGTTATTCTCATTCGTTCAGTCGTAAGTCGACTCATAGTTCCAGCCTAATTAGAACATCGTTTATATAGTGCAGCTGCGTGTGCGCCGACAGCTCTGCATTTGCCCTCGACAACGGGATAAATATAGTCGCTTGCTCGCGTGTAATATATACAATATAAACCTAGTTGATAAAGCTGATTCAAATAGAGTGTACCTTTTAAAGCATTTTAAATACATATATTTTAAACCAAAGCTTCTCGAAAAATCTCTGACAAAAAATGTCATATTTTCCAGGCAGCTCTTTCATATATTCTATATGATATAGAGCTATGATCCAGTATTATATAAAGAAACTTTCCCTTAGGCAACTTGAAGCTTCAACTATTGTTCAGCTCATATATATTATATATACATTTACCACTATCCAGCTAAATAGTCTATTTCCACATACTGTGGCTAAACTATTATGTGCTCATGGGCAGGACGTAAAACCGTTTTGATGGATGTGCCACAATCACAAATTGTTTCGTTTTTCGGGTGTTTGGCTTCTGCCCTGAAAATGTCCAACTGCATTCATATGATTAACATCAATCAGGGCGGTAGCCCGATGGGGGCGTGGTCGTGTTGGTTTCGTCATAGCCCGCACTCTTGTGCTCGTAATTAAAAATCAATCAGCGTGTGGCATAAAGCTTAATGCCGAACAGCAGCAGCAGCAGCAGTAGCAGCAGATAGGCTGATAGAGTTGACTACTCTCCCCATCGGCCGCTAGATGGCGTTTCGCTGCAATTGAACTCTGTTGTGGGCTTACATGGCGAACAAAGTTGGATTAAGTTCGGTTTGAGGAGTTCAATGAAAGGGAATTTCATATATATCTGACTAATATATGATTGGCATTGATTGAAGTAGACAATTGCAATTGCTATACTTTAGCTTATAAATTGGTTGAGAAGTTCAGTTGCCTTAAATCACATTTCTATCGAGAGATATTAAGAAATCAATGAAATTAATTTGCCTTAAGCTATTATTGGATAGTTTTAGTAAATATAACATTCAGCTCAGGATTAGTGCAGCATATGATTTAAATTTCCGTATTTACTTCTTTTTAATGATGTTTGGAATCTTGATTTTGCGGATATCTCACATGAAATCTTTCTATGCTGATTCAAACATAAATGTATATTTTTTATAGATTAGCGAAAATTATATATATAATTATTAACAATTTCCTTTACCACATTTTTTTATCATATAATTCATATTTTATTTTGTATTAATTAATATTTGGTTTTTTTATTTCATATTTAATATTTTATAAATTAATATTCAGTTTTAATTTATTTATATTAATTTTTTTATATTTTTTAAATTTATCTTCTAATTATTTAAAATTTAAATTTATTTGAATTAAATATTTCTTAAAATATTTTTTATATTTTTTTGCATTTTATTTATTATATGTTGTATTATTATTATATTTATTTTTTATATATTTTATTTTTAGTTTATCATAATTAAGAATATGAAATCATAAACAAATAATTAATATATATAAAATTTTTATATTAAGCCAATTAGCTTTTATAAATAAAGCTACAAAGATTGGCTAATGATGCTGAAAACATTTTCAAAGCATACTTTAGAGGGAGAGAGGCAGCGGGTAATAGAGAGATGCGATTTTCGCTTGCAAAAACAACTCAAATCAAAAAGGAGACTTCGTAAATTCTTTAACATTTGCTAATCTGGCAATAAAATGAATTATTTAACAATTGCAAGCCGTTAAGCTCACAATTTAGAATTTGGCCAGCAGGCGAAATGCCGTCTGACATTCAGAGAGTCGCATTATGAGGGGAGCCATTCAATCAAACCATTTTGTGTCTCTTTGATTAACGCCCACTACACACATCAAAGTCTGACTCTGAGTTTATGATGTTCAGTTTTGACAGGCAACACCCAAAGGCCCGACAGCCTCTGGCTGGTATTTATTTGTTTATGAAATGTTAATTAGCTGCAATAAACCAGACGAAACCGAGAACCAAAATACTTTACAGAGTTCGAGACAATAACATTTCCTGGGGGACGGGGTGGGGCGGGGCGTGGCGGTACGGTGCCAGGCATGTTTTAACCTAAAAATAATAATAGACACAGAGCTCGGTTTATTATAATTTTCACGCCTGTCTGAGCTGTGGGTAGACCTTTTCGCTTTGCCTCTCGGTGACAACGATTTAACCTTTATCAACCGATAAGGTTTTCCTTTCCTCTATTCATAAGATGAGAAACCACAAAAAAGGTAGAAGAAGCATGTAAGAATAATGCCGCCGGCTGGCACCGACAGCATGATACTCTTTCTCGGTTAAAAAACAACAATTGAATTTATGTTCCAAATTCCAAGTCTCTAGCGGTAATGGCGACGGAGAGACAGCGCAAAACCAATATACTCTCTGCATTTCGTGAAGGAGTAGTCGCAGAAGCAAGATCGCCATAACAAATATATATTATTTATACGCTTAACTTAAAGTCGGTCTTGACTTAGATCAAATATTTTCTATTTTAATCCGTTTTCTAGCTCTAAACTTATAAACTTTGGCTCACAAATTGAGTTTCAGTTAGACAAGCTATACTATATAATCGTCCAATAAAATAGTTCAGCTTGCTTTCCGGTTTCTAAGGGCATTTTATGTTTGCCTAACATAAAATGCCAAACTTTTCTTGCTCATTCATTTTTTTTATTTATTTCCTCATAGTTTGTCGCATTGTCCAGAGGCCAAAAAGCATAAACAGATCAATAAAAAGAAAACAACAGTTATAGAGCTGGGTGGGAGACATAAACTACTGTCAAGAGCAAAGAACAAACCCAAAAACCCGAATCAACAACGACAACAGCAACGAAGCAACTGTCGCAGTTCCCATGCAAATTTCCCTGGCGTCCCTTAGTAACCCCGCCCCCGGGCGTCCCGCTTTCCATCATTAGAACTGTAGTCCATGTCTATTTGTTTGCACAAATAATGTGTAAGCAGGCATATTTTTGTCAACGAGGCTAATTCCAGTCAGAGATTTACGTGACAATGGCTTCTGGGCTAGCTGAGAGCAGGAATTCTTTGGGAATTCCAACGGACGTTGGACCATAAGAAAAGCCAAAAAAAGAAGAAATTGCCAACAACAACAACAACAACATGTCGTGCAGCTCGACACAAAAACAATTACAAAACAAGTTCCATCAAAGCGCTGCTGAGAGCAAGAAAGCGAGAGGGTGGGTGTATGAGAGAGGGGACAGAGGGGGATGGGTGCATACCAAAGCTGAGGTTTTTCTTCGTCGTTTTGCGGCCAGTCAGTCAGGCCATAAAAAGCAAATATAACGGCAATGGCGAGAGGTAGGCCGTGAAGAAGCATCAGCAAAACTGGGTTAGGTGGACTGCAGGAGGGGAGGAGGGGCGAGGGCGGCTTGAGTAGTTGCAAAAGTGGAAGGTGCTGCTGGTGGTGTTGCTGCTGCTGCTACAGTTGCTGGACAGGCACTCCTCCATTGTTAACAGTACATCTCTGTTTCGACTTTTTTCTGCTTCTTCTTTTATTTTGTTTTCTTCTCTGCTTCGCACCTATGCAGCATTCGCCTCTGTTGTCTCAGCGTGGTTTATTGTATTGTAAAATGAATGTATGACACATATCCCAGTTAGCCTGTCTACAACGGTGCTCCACTTGCGTTGATAACTTAAAGCCAACAACTGCATGTCGGACAACAATCAGAGAGATATCAACTAGGCATATGTGTCACGTGTGTCAAAAGCTGTGAAGCTATAAAACTCTCATAACAATTTCGAAATGAGAAATGCATTCTAAGTCTGCCAGAGATCAGAAACTGCTCAGACAAAACCTAACTATAAATTTGGAACATGCTAAAGGCAATTCAATTCAAACACACACACACATGACCACTCACTGACCAGCTCAATATAAGAGTGTGCCTCACGCTATGAGCGTTCCATTCATATTTGTGCAGCCACATTAAGTATCACAACTCTCCACCTCTCCGCTTTCTACTCTCCCGCCTCATCTCCAAAAGCCCCGCTCATACATTCGCCTGTCGCAGCCGTCGCTTGTTTATTGGCTGACAAGTGCTGTGCGTCCGGCTACTATTGCGGAAATGAGCAAATGACTAATGACTGACCAAGAGTCAAACGCCCAGTGGACGACGACAGGCTTCATCTCTCTCTTTCCCCCCTTCACCTACCATGGTATAGTGTGTGCCTGTTATGTGTGTGCATTGCGCTTCAATTAAAGAAACGCAGGAAATTGAACTTTTAGCGGGACATGGGGCGATAAGAAGACAGCATCAATCGTTACGTTAAGTTACGTTACGGTACCTACTTGTCTGTCTGTCTGGCTGGCTGGCTGCTGTTTGGTGGTTTGCTTTGTGCTTAAAGCGAGACGCGTGTATCCGTATCCAGTTGTTGCATATAGTACAAGTATTTAAGTGTGGGCTGCTGTTACAGTTTGAAGAGCACTTCACTTTAGCACTTTACACTTGCACATAAGCATACACACATTCACTCACTCACATACACTCACTCATACACACATACTCATGCAATAAACAATAATCTCGCTGTGTGCCTTGAAATATCTTGTGCGATTTCTTTGTACCGTTGTAACTGTAACGCCACATTCACGCATTCACGTTCACCGCATGCCGACAAATACGACGCGCGCGCGTCTACGTCAAACGTCTACGTTTACGTCAGCGTCTACGTCTCCGGCTTGCCGCTGCCGCAGCTGCTGTCGCACCAAATAACAAACGTGTACTGACACATCCGCACAACATTATGCGCATTTTATGGCCGACGACCTTCGCCGTGGACTTCGTAAATTTTTAGTACACCCACGAAGATAACACGACGACGGCACAGCCGAACGGCATACAATAAAAAAAACATTGTCCTAGGCGCAACAGACGAACGTTAAACGTGCCAAAAATGCAATGAGCCGCATTTAACGTGAGCGAGGAAACGATGAGAGCGCCAAAGAGTGTGAGAGCATGCGCACATATATAACAGTTAAATATTAAGAGCTGGCAATGCTGCAGCCCATCTCAGCATTCGGCTGAAATTCAAAAAGCCGGACACTGATTTGACGACGCTTTGACAATGAAGATGAATGAATACGAATAGCGGAATGAGATAGGGGTTGGGGGGACGTGGCCAGTTGATTGAAGTGGTGTGTGTTGTTATGTGCCCTTTGACCGCAGGTACCGGCCGACAGCTAATAAACTCGAAAACCCAAAATGTTCGTCGAATTTATTGTAAAACATTTCTAGCCCCTAGCACTAAGACTGATAAATGGCCACGCACCCAGGCAATTTGCAAGTTACCCCCTGACCCCACACACTCCACCCACAGCTAACCTATAAAGTTTATGCTCGTCTCTTACGGCCATTGCATGTTTTATGCTCGTTGTTGTTGCTGCTGCTTGGTTTTTAATATACAATATTAGCCGGTAGTGATGTTTCAATTAATTTTTAAGGTAGTCGAAGAGGCGAACAAGAAGAAGAGGAGCCAAGAATAGCTGAGCCAAGGAAGCACAACTTCCAACCGCATGCTAAGATATGATGCCAGCTCCCAAACCAACAGACAAATAAATGGGTTACTGCAAAGGGTAAATTTTTCATAGTTGGGTGGCTCATCGAATTTCGGGTTGAACTGAAGAAATTGCTATGGATTGGAGCTTAGGTAGAAATTGCGGTTAGCAGCATTGGTCAAGCGGATGAATTTAAGGACTTTAAGCGATTTATTTCGTAGCACAAATGGGTTAAAACAGATGTTCAGTTCGAATTTGACTAAGACTGGGATATGGCTATGAGAACGTATTATAAATTATATTCTTTTAAATAAAGAGGAAAGGCCTTAAACATAGAGGTTTGATGACTAAAAAAATAGATTTGGTGTTAAATATTTCTAAGGACACTCATAAGAACACTTAAAAGTCAAAGGCTCTAGTCTACTCTAGTCTACTCTAGTCTACTCTAGTCTACTCTCCTCTAGTCTACTCTAGTCTACTCTAGTCTACTCTAGTCTACTCTAGTCTACTCTAGTCTACTCTAGGCTACTCTAGTCTACTCTAGCTACTCTAGTCTACTCTAGTCTACTCTAGTCTACTCTAGTCTACTCTAGTCTACTCTAGGCTACTCTAGTCTACTCTAGTCCTACTCTAGTCTACTCTAGTCTACTCTAGTCTACTCTAGTCTACCTAGTCTACTCTAGTCTACTCTAGTCTACTCTAGTCTACTCTAGTCTACTCTAGTCTACTCTAGTCTACTCTAGTCTACTCTAGTCTACTCTAGTCTACTCTAGTCTACTCTAGTCTACTCTAGTCTACTCTAGTCTACTCTAGTCTACTCTAGTCTACTCTAGTCTACTCTAGTCTACTCTAGTCTACTCTAGTCTACTCTAGTCTACTCTAGTCTACTCTAGTCTACTCTAGTCTACTCTAGTCTACTCTAGTCTACTCTAGTCTACTCTAGTCTACTCTAGTCTACTCTAGTCTACTCTAGTCTACTCTAGTCTACTCTAGTCTACTCTAGTCTACTCTAGTCTACTCTAGTCTACTCTAGTCTACTCTAGTCTACTCTAGTCTACTCTAGTCTACTCTAGTCTACTCTAGTCTACTCTAGTCTACTCTAGTCTACTCTAGTCTACTCTAGTCTACTCTAGTCTACTCTAGTCTACTCTAGTCTACTCTAGTCTACTCTAGTCTACTCTAGTCTACTCTAGTCTACTCTAGTCTACTCTAGTCTACTCTAGTCTACTCTAGTCTACTCTAGTCTACTCTAGTCTACTCTAGTTACTCTAGTCTACTCTAGTCTACTCTAGTCTACTCTAGTCTACCTGTCTACTCTAGTCTACTCTAGTCTACTCTAGTCTACTCTAGTCTACTCTAGTCTACTCTAGTCTACTCTAGTCTACTCTAGTCTACTCTAGTCTACTCTAGTCTACTCTAGTCTACTCTAGTCTACTCTAGTCTACTCTAGTCTACTCTAGTCTACTCTAGTCTACTCTAGTCTACTCTAGTCTACTCTAGTCTACTCTAGTCTACTCTAGGTCTACTCTAGTCTACTCTAGTCTACTCTAGTCTACTCTAGTCTACTCTAGTCTACTCTAGTCTACTCTAGTCTACTCTAGTCTACTCTAGTCTACTCTAGTCTACTCTAGTCTACTCTAGTCCTACTCTAGTCTACTCTAGTCTACTCTAGTCTACTCTAGTCTACTCTAGTCTACTCTAGTCTACTCTAGTCTACTCTATCTACTCTAGTCACTCTAGTCTACTCTAGTCTACTCTAGTCTACTCTAGTCTACTCTAGTCTACTCTAGTCTACTCGAGTCTACTCTAGTCTACTCTAGTCTACTCTAGTCTACTCTAGTCACTCTAGTCTACTCTAGTCTAACTCTAGTCTCTAGTCTACTCTAGTCTACTCTAGTCTACTCTAGTCCTACTCTAGTCTACTCTAGTCTACTCTAGTCTACTCTAGTCTACTCTAGTCTACTCTAGTCTACTCTAGTCTACTCTAGTCTACTCTACTCTAGTCTACTCTAGTCTACTCTAGTCTACTCTAGTCTACTCTAGTCTACTCTAGTCTACTCTAGTCTACTCTAGTCTACTCTAGTCTACTCTAGTCTACTCTAGTCTACTCTAGTCTACTCTAGTCTACTCTAGTCTACTCTAGTCTACTCTAGTCTACTCTAGTCTACTCTAGTCTACTCTAGTCTACTCTAGTCTACTCTAGTCTACTCTAGTCTACTCTAGTCTACTCTAGTCTACTCTAGTCTACTCTAGTCTACTCTAGTCTACTCTAGTCTACTCTAGTCTACTCTAGTCTACTCTAGTCTACTCTAGTCTACTCTAGTCTACTCTAGTCTACTCTAGTCTACTCTAGTCTACTCTAGTCTACTCTAGTCTACTCTAGTCTACTCTAGTCTACTCTAGTCTACTCTAGTCTACTCTAGTCTACTCTAGTCTACTCTAGTCTACTCTAGTCTACTCTAGTCTACTCTAGTCTACTCTAGTCTACTCTAGTCTACTCTAGTCTACTCTAGTCTACTCTAGTAGTCTACTCTAGTCTACTCTAGTCTACTCTAGTCTACTCTAGTCTACTCTAGTCTACTCTAGTCTACTCTAGTCTACTCTAGTCTACTCTAGTCTACTCTAGTCTACTCTAGTCTACTCTAGTCTACTCTAGTCTACTCTAGTCTACTCTAGTCTACTCTAGTCTACTCTAGTCTACTCTAGTCTACTCTAGTCTAATCTGATCTACTCTAGTCTACTCTAGTCTACTCTAGTCTACTCTAGTCTACTCTAGTCTACTCTAGTCTACTCTAGTCTACTCTAGTCTACTCTAGTCTACTCTAGTCTACTCTAGTCTACTCTAGTCTACTCTAGTCTACTCTAGTCTACTCTAGTCTACTCTAGTCTACTCTAGTCTACTCTAGTCTAATCTGATCTAGTCTACTGTAGTCTACTCTAGTCTACTCTAGTCTACTCTAGTCTACTCTAGTCTACTCTAGTCTAATCTGATCTAGTCTACTCTAGTCTACTCTAGTCTACTCTAGTCTACTCTAGTCTACTCTAGTCTACTCTAGTCTACTCTAGTCTACTCTAGTCTACTCTAGTCTACTCTAGTCTACTCTAGTCTACTCTAGTCTACTCTAGTCTACTCTAGTCTACTCTAGTCTGCTCTAGTCTACTCAACTCACTTCTAATCTAATTCCTCTAGTTAATATATAGTTAACACAATTGCATTAAGATTCAGCTCCATCTCTAGTTATAACTCAACCTAGGCAAGTTTAGCACAATTTATTTAAATTCCATTCAGCTATTAACTAAAAGCACTTCATAGACTTTAGTTGCCTTGTGCTTATAAATCGCAATCCTTTTGCTTAGTCTAGCATATTTCTTCCACTAGATACATATATATATATACAAATGCCGTTATGTGCGATAGTCTTAAGAGCTAATCCTCGGCGGGCTGAACATTTGCAAATTTTGCAATTTTCAGTCAATTGTGTGTCCAGCTGCCAAGCTGAGCGCCCCGTGTGGAAGACAATTTAAAACTCTTACACTATACCTATCCTACTCTCTATCTCCCTCTTTCTCACTCTCTCTGTTTCCGCTTGGCATGTTGTACCTTCGTTCTGGCTGCAGTAGCTCCCCCCAGCTTGTTGTGGTTTAATGGATTTGCAGTTTGCAGTTTCTTAACAATTCGATGTTATTTTCGCTCTTTCACTTCCTTTTCGCGCTTTGCCCTTTTCGTGTTCAATTTTTTCTTTCTCCCCCTAACACTCTCCACTATTTTTTTATTTCTTTTTTTTTTGGTAATTGCTTCCCATTGTTGTGCTTCGATTGCAAAGTTGCGCCCGGCTCCCAGGACTAGCTGGGCGAAAACCCCAAAGGATTCGCAGCATTGCAAATTGTGGTGCATTGTGCAGCCAGCTAAACATTTAATGTGCATACTTGAAGGACAAAATCTAAAAGAGATTAAAGCATTGGCACAGATAGCATGTAGATGTGACTCTGTGTGTAGATGACTCAGACTCAGACTCAGACTCAGACTCAGACTCAGACTCTGACTCTGACTCTGACTCTGACTCTGACTCTGACTCTGACTCTGACTCTGACTCTGACTCTGACTCTGACTCTGACTCTGACTCTGACTCTGACTCTGACTCTGACTCTGACTCTGACTCTGACTCTGACTCTGACTCTGACTCTGACTCTGACTCTGACTCTGACTCTGACTCTGA